GATTCATTTCTGCACCAGGGTTTTTATACGTGCAGTTTCCACTCCTTAGAAACCTATCCTAGACCTTCATCTGACTAGCTCCTTCTCATGATTCATTTACATTTCCCACATTTATTTCTCTACCCAATGTATCTGAAACAGAGCACTTGATCTTCACTCAAGCTCTGCTCCTCTGCAAGTTTTCCCTATTTGATTGAATGCTATCACCATTTATCCAGCTGCTCAGACTAAAAGCATAGGTATATTTCATTCCATTCACTCATAAAGCTAAATCCATAAGCAGGTATTGTTAGCTCCATCTTCAGACTATATTCTGAACTGACCTTTCCTCCCAGTTTCCATGCTATGATAAGTAGAATCCAATCCATGGTCCAGTATGGGTGTTGGCAGTGATGAAAGAGCTTTCCTCCATGCAGTTATTCTGCGGCACTGGCTCATTTCCTCCTGCAGCTCTTCCACTCTCTAGGACATCTGAATCCTCCATCAGATCCTCTGTATGCAGCCAGCACATGAGGGAAGACCAAGAGTGTGAAGGATCACACAGAAAGTTTTTAAAGACCATGCCTGGAAGTGGCTTCTGTTCCACTGGCCTTAGCTTAATCACAGGCCCTACCAAACTTGTAGGGATGTTGGAAAATCTATTCTAGCTGTCAGTTCAAGAAAATGGTACCACCTGTCACTCAGTATTCCTTAACTATTAAATAAAGAAAATTTTCCTTACTAAATACTTCTTGACATTATCATTTACTTCTTTCAAGCTTCCAGCCTTAGAATCAATCCATTTTCATTTTCCTCAGTCCTAGATCTCTTACTTTCCCCACTGGCCTATTTTTCCTCTTTAATATACAGTTTCTATGCATCAAAGCTGATATCCTCTGAATGTATATCCAGACTAATTGCTTCTATGATTTCATACCAGCTTTTACCACAACTCTTTTTATTTAAAATATATATATATGTCTGTGTATTTGGTTAATGTTGCCTTTTTTTTTTTGACATACTTCTTTTCCAGCAGACTACAAGTGTTTTCAGGGTAAGTGTCATATAAAAAATTTGGAATTCTATTATGTAGTCAGTGTCTGGTGCACCTATTACAAACATATATTTAATTAAATAAAAGGTCCTGCAGTCACCTACAGATACAACATGTCCAAAATAGGCAAATCCTTTATCCTCCACCATACATCTTTTCCTAACTCAGTTAATAAAATTACCTACCATTTAAGCTTAAATTCTGTTTGATTATATCCTTTTCAATACCTAAATCCAAAGCTAATCTGTTTCATTTTATTTTGTTTTATTTTCCTTAGAAATGTGTGAGTACTTATCTTTGAAATTCAAAAATAATGACAAGAAAATGGTATATGTAAATATTGTTTCAGTTCACTTTTTCTATTACATTATAAACTATCAATCTTAATATGAGTATCTTTATAGATTAGGAACATTTTTTCTTTTCTTTGATTACTTTTGTTCCCTTTATTCTTCTGTGTTTCAGGCACACCTATTTGTAGATGTATCTGTCCCACATATTTCCTTTCTTTTTCATACATATTTTGTTTTCTGTTCTGAGAAAATTTTTCAAGGTTGTCATTTTTCGTATTTTCTTCATAGCCAAATATATTTAATCTTTCAATCCCATGTTAGTTTCCTGTGGCTACTTCAACCGATTACCATAAAATGGGGGGTTTAAAACAACAGAAGTTTATTTTCTCAGTTCTGGAGGGCTGCTGTCCCAGATCAGGATGTTGACAGCACTGTGCTCCCTCCGAAGGCTCAGAGGGTGAACTCCTTGGCTTTCCCAGCTTCTGTGGGCTCCAGGGGTTCCTTGGTTTGCGGATATATCACTCCAACGTCTTCCTCCATGGTCACATTGCCTCCTATTTTTCTGTGGGCCTAGTGCTGAATCTCCCTCTCCCTCTCTGTTATGAGGATACATGTGACTGCATTTAGGGCCAACCTGAGTAATCCAGGATAAGCTCCTCCTCTCAAGATCCTTATCTTAACCATGTATTTTGCCACATAAGGCAATATTAATATTCACTCTTGCCATGTAAGTTAATATTCACAGGTTCTGCAAATTAGGACCTTGGTATATCTTTTGGGGGCCACCATTTAGCCCAGCACTCTTTCTAATTTTCAATTTATCTCTCCTATTTTCATTTCTACTCTGTATTTCATAATATTGTGGTGGATTGATTTTTCTACCAACTACGCTTAAGAAAGATAGCTAATACTGCCTGTATCGAGTGCATATCAAATAAAACTTAGATTCAGTTGACTAATGGATCTTCCAACCTAGATTCTTCACAAGTAGACTTGCCAATATTTCATTGAAAGAGTTGATAGAAAATAACAGTTGATAGAAATTTCAAGACAAAGAAGCCTAAGGGACAGGTTAGGGAAAAGAAGAATAATCCTAACAACCAGTAGCTTCACCTTATCATTATAGTCACAGGATACCCCTGCATTCACTACTGTTACTAAGGTCATCAAATACCCTCATCCTTTCAAATGGGACTGTCATTTCTCCTTCCTCCCTTTTCTCAGTCTTTCAGGAGCATTGTACAGTTAACTATTCTGGGCATCTTGACTCATTTGATTTGCAAGTAATCTTACCAGCATTGTTTTGGTTTCCTTCCTTTGCCTCTTTTCATTCTTCTTTGCCACTCCTTTGCCTAAAGTCAAACATTGTGGTGCTCTAGGACTTAGTACTTAAATCAAGTCTCCTTAATCACTCCCTCATTAAGTGATCTCACTCAGGACTGTAACTCATCTTTACCTCAGGGTCTGTATGCCAGCAGTTCCCTCTAGTTAGAAACCTATCACAGACCTTCAAATAGCTTGTTCTTTCTCATGATTCATTTATAATTTCCACTTTTATATTTCTACCTGGTATGTCCAAATATAAAACATATCTCCTACTCTTCCCTATCTGAGTTAACGGTATCATTATTCACCCAGTTGTTCATATTAAAGATACAGGTTTCTCCTAGATTATTATATTCTACTTACCCCTAAAAGTCAAATCCATCAACTGGTATTATTAGCTCTACCTTCATAATATATCCAGACTCGGACATTTCCTCACAGTTTCCACACTGTGGAAAACAGAATTCTAAGATGGACCACAGGATCTCTCATCCCTGGTATATGCTTTGCATAATTTCCAGGACAATGAGTATGATGGGCTTTACTTCCACGATTAGGTTATAATATGTGGCACAGGTCAGCTTAAAATAAGGTAATTATCCAGGGGAACTTGATGCGATCAGTTGGACACATTAAAAGCAGAGAGAGTTTTCTCTGCCTGGTCGCACAAGTCAGAGATTTGAAGCATGAGAAGGATCAGATGAGCCTTTGCTGACCTGAAGGTGGTGGAAGCCTCGTGTCAAGGAACATGGGGAGCCTCTAGATGCTGAGAGCAACCCTGGTTGAGAAACAGCAAGAAAATGGGGACTTAAGTCCTCTAATTACATTGAACTGAATTCTTCTAACAGCCTCTAACCATAGTTATTCATTTCTCAAACATGCTAAAACTCATTCCCAGATCAGAGCTGTTATACATGCTCTTATTTCTACCTGAAATAGCCTTTAGCCATCTTCTTATCATTTGGCTTTCAGTTCAAATACCACCACCTCTTTTTGCAACTACCCTCTGTATATTCCATACTAGTTATACCCTATAGGCTTATCTTGTTATTAATGGCATATTCCATTATCTTATTAAAAATTATTTATTTATGTTAACTTTATTGTTTATCTCCTTTCTAAGATTGTAAAATAAACATGGTCAGCCTTTTTTAGTCCCATTAGTAGATAGATCAGAGCCTTATACATAAATCTTGAGCACATAAATGAAAAGAAGTGCCCCAGAAGAACCTCTTCCCCCTTCACACATGCCAGTGCCCAGTTTTCTGCTTGAATTTTCAATACCAATCAGTAGTTAACTTTCAAAAGTTTCTCCATGTAATAAGTATCATCCCAAGGCTTCTAGTCTAAAATGAAAGGAAGCCTAAAAACTTGTGCAGTGGCTTTACATGCCAAACCTGTTTTGCATGCTTATATTCAAAGTCAGTAAGGCTTCCATCAGGAAAGGACTTTTGAGGCTAATTTGAATTTTATAGTTCTATTGTCATCCCTACCTAAAGGAATACAATCAGTAATCCATGTCGGGTTTTTTCTTTTTTCTTTTTGGTTTAGTCCCAGAAGTATTTTTCTTGGAGAAATTCTTTCTCAATCTTGACATGTAGTCAGTTTTTACTGTTTACTTAACATATAGATTAGAATATTTTCTCAGTTGGATATTTTAGTAATATTAATTATAGTACCATAATAATCTGTAAGAAAAGTTGAGACTTCAACAGCTCTCCACAGATGGAGGCTATTTTGAAAGATTTTTATTTCCCATCATAAGAAGGTGTTCAGGTACTGGGTAAATGATCACATGGTAAGTGGAGAGAATTCAAGGTTCATATAGATAGCTTGACTAGAAGACTTCTTAAGTCATCTTCCATCTCTAAGTTATTAATGTTACTTATATGTACAAGTTTAGTCCAATTAAAAATGCAACCTCCAAAGGATAGTCTATTAAAAATGCCCTTCTGGTTCCAAAACTGATGTACTCCTGAAACAAATCTTACAATGTGTATTTCAACACATCTATATTCTTTTGACATTTGCTGCAAATATGGGACAAACCATTTTGAATAATTTAAATCCTATACTAGTTAGGCTAAATATTATGAAAAAAACGCTAAAGCTAAAATTCCTTTGGGAAGTTAATACTTGGCTAGTCTATATATAAAATCAGTATTCTAAATTATGACATTTCATTTTGGAATTGAAAGTATTTTAAAATAAAGTCTTCAATTAATACCTTACATTCATCTTTTATAGTTCACCAAGACATTTAGAAGAATATATTGAAAATTAGAAAAAGTTAACCTTGAAAAATTCCCCATTTATTTTTATATTTTTTAAAATTTAAAGTAACTTACCCTGGTGCATAGTTGCATATGAAAATTGCTGCATGTTTAATATGTCCAATTCTTGGACATGGTGTAACAGCACAACCAATTTTGTAAGATTTGTCCCAAACAAGCTAAAATAAAATTTTCAAGTAAATTATAAAATTTAATTCTAAACATTTACTCTGCCATTTATAAACCATAATATGTTATATTCACATAGAACTCTTAACCAAACAATTCAAGAAATATGAACTATTCTTCATTTGGATGCAGGTAGAGAATTATTATTGATTTAAGGAAGCATTTCTAAAACTGTATTTAGAGAAACACTTTATTAGGTTCTACCAATACTGTATTCTTCAGATAAAGAGGTTGGGAAACCCTGGTTCAGAATATTGCTTTAGGGCCAAGAGAGGGCACACGTGCTTGAATCAATTTTCAACCTCTTGTTGAATCTGAGAATTCTAGGTTATCGGCAGAGAGAAACAGGGAAAAAAGAAGAGAAAAGGTTTTGTAAGAATGGAAGTTGTGAGTAGAAGGCAGAAAAAGAAAGACACTAAGATTACAGAAGGGAAGGAAAGGTGATACAAGAAGACAGAGTAACTGAATGCTACTGTAATTTCTTTTTTTATTGTTAAGGAAGTTCCACTATAAAATAATAAAGAGTGAGGGCCTTTTGTTTCAAAAATGAATTAAAGAGCAGGTTTCTATAAAAGGAAAAACAGATCTTGAATTGGAGTGAAAATATGAGAAAAATGATATTCCAGAAATTCACAGTATGGCTGTAGTATTTCTCATACCTACAAGTGACAAAAAAGTACTTGTTTAATTAACCTCTGTGGAAGAGAGAAAAACCATTTTTGTTTTCCTTTTTTCTTTATCCCAAGTCTTAGTGGTTTTAAAAGTATGACTCTTACAGAAATGAAGTGATGCTTTAAAAGAATAGAGAATAGAATGTCTGCGACAGTTGAAGTGAAGTTAGGCAGACCAAATACAGGAAGCACAAATATCTAGAATACCAGGTTTAAGGATTAAAAAAATAGAGGACTAGGTCAGGGAGTCTACTTGCTTAGTTTACTGAGAGTATTGCTGGCTTTGATATGAGTAGACAATGGAAAACCACTAGAACTTTCAGGAAGAAGAAAGAACTGATGAAAAAAATTGAAACATGATTCATTTGATGGAACACAAATACATGAGTTCAACATGAAAAAATTCCAAGATTTTACATAAAACATGGCATCAGAGCCTACTGATTGAAAAATTAAAATCTTTTTTAAAAGCTTGGAAGTTCACTCAATAATTCCTTGATTTCTGATGCAAATATGTATTGAAGACCTAAATAATCCCACGTGTTGAGAATATATGGATGAAAAGACAAGTTTCCTGCACTCAGTGTAATATAATATTCAAACAGATTATAAAACAATGTGATATGTGAAATAATAAATGTATATACAGGAAATCACAAGGTTCAGTATTCTTGGAATATAAAGTGTAAGGGTGGATTGTTAGGCATGGAGGAGGGAAATAATACTATTAATTTCCATTTGAAATGTTTTAGTCAGTTATATAGTAGTATATGTACTGATCTGTGTGAAAAATAATCAAGTCCTTTATTTATGCTTATGGTCAATAACTTAAAAGTAAGTTTCATGTTCTATTTTCTTTCTGTTACAGTGTGCATTGTTTTTAATAAGGCACCTTTCATCTTTGGGTAAGGAGATTAGATTTACTATACTTAAAGGAATGTTATAATTGTACGGTTTACATAGTAGATGGAATTACAGATATTTTGAAAATTTAGGACTGAGTTGAATTTTGATTCTATTAGAAATAATTTTACCACTTGAGTTTATTTATAAAATTGAACATAATAAAAAGTTAGTAGTAAAGCAGTTAATGAGTCTACTGAATCATATAAAAATTAAATACCTGTATATAATTAAAACAGTCATCAGAGCAACTGTCATTTTCAAAATAGTACTTTGTCTTCTCTGCATACCAACTTCCGTTAGCACTACTTGCAGTAAATTCATTTTCAGGGCCAACCAATATATTTTCACCAATACCATTAAATTTAGGATGGACCATTTTTAGTTCTTCTAAATGAATATTATGCTGAAACACACATTTTTTCCCACATGCTCTAGCAGTCCATGACAAAGCTACATCCCAAGTCTGAAAAAAATGCAAAAAGCAAAGAAAACAAAATAATATGAGGTTTTTTTTGAGCTCTAAATTATTTTCCTTAAGTTTGCATAGTTAGATGTAAGGAAAACAATTCTAACTTTGTGCGTATAGGTCTTGTTTGTGGAATTTCTGTGAGGGAAAAGTTTTTTGAAATAATCTTAAATGAAAGACTATTTCTTGAGACAAATGAGTATTCATGATGTAATTTAAAAATGAGATTGCTGGATGATGCAAATGATTATACTTTTCCATGTAGTTGTTTATAATATATATTTTTAATCTCATGCCTTTTATACATAGTAATACAATAATTTAAAATATTTATCGAAGAACTATTAGTTGAGCACTGATCATATGCAAACTACTGTATTGTGAAGGATAATATATGAGACCAGGCATAAATTTTATCCTGTATTTGCTTAAACTGTTAGAACAATGAGGGATATTATATAGATATTATATATAGATAGATAGATCTTTTTATATAGAAAGTATATTATATTTATATTTTTATATATTATAATAAATAAAATTATATATACATATATTATTTCAGCACATAGTAGTAGTTGGTAAATGTTATAAAAAAGCACATACAAAGTCCTATGGATGTTCCCAGATTATACATAAATACAATATAGAAAATATATTATAGAAAATAAATCATGCTTTAGAATATTCAACACAGTATTTCCCTAATGAAAGGTAATCATCATTTAAGAAAATTACGTATGTATACATTTCTCTATCTCTGTATACATACACATATACACACGTTCAAATATAAGACATAAATTTGGGTGTTTTAGATGGTTATTTTGTGATATTTTTTGCACTGATGTAGTCATAACATATACACTATTAATGGTAACTTGCAGTTTTCACTTAGATTGTTACATATTAGCCCAAGTAGATCTACCTAATTTTTACTAATGCCATCTAGTATTCCATAGCATGGATATGTGCATGAAATGGAAATGTTATCATTTCACCATTAATGGCCTTTTAGATTATTTCCCATTTGCAAAACATGTTCCATGAACCATCCTTCTACTGCCTTACATAGCATATTGTTTACACACCACATGTTTAGAACCAATAACTCTTCTAAGTGATTTTTGATGCTTTATTTCACTGAATGTTCACAGTAACCCTATGAGGTATTCATTATTACTGTTTCTGTTTGAAAATGGAGATATCTAAACCATAAAGAAGTTAAGTAGTTTACTTACAGCCAATAAATTGTGGAACCTGAATTTAAACCTAGGAAGTCTCTTCAAATTCTTAATCATTTTACTTCATTGCTTCCCATTATGGTGTGCAAATAAGTTAAGATAGTTAAAAATTCCTTGCTTAACCTTGAATAAAGTTAAAGTTGAAAACAGAGGCTGAGGTTTCTTTTTTTTTCAATTATATAATATAGTGTGATTAACTATAGTCATCAAGTTTTGCATTAGATCCTCAGATGTTATTTATCTTATATATGAAAAGTTTTTACCACTTTATCAACCTCTTCCTATTTCTCTGATCCTCCACCCCCTGGCAACCACTTTTCTACATTGCTTCTATGAATTCAACTTTTTATTATTATTGTCTTTCTCTGACTTATTTCAGTTAACATAATGCTCTAAAATTCTAACCAAGTTGTGGTAAATGGCAGGATTTCCTTCTTTCTCATGGTGTATTAAAATTTCTTTTTATATATATATACACACCCCTCATATCTTCTTTATTGATTCATCCATTGATGGACAGTAGATTGTTTCTATACCTAGGTTATAATGCTGCAGTGAACTTAAGAGTGAAGTATCTCTTTGGTATACTGTTTTCACTTCCTTTGGATATATACCCAGAAGTGGGCTTGCTGGATCATATGATGTTCTACTTTTAAATTTTTGTGGAGCCTCTATACTATTTTTCATAGTGGCTGTGCCAATTTACATTGTATTACAATAAGAATATGCTTCATGCCATAGAAATATACATTTAAAGATGGTTAAAGTGGTAAAGCTTATGCTATGCAAATTTTACAATTAAAAATAATTTATTTGAGTTTTAAAACAAGATGGAACACAAATACTTGATAACAACAGTATGGACATGGGCGGGAGACATTTAGAATTCGTATTGTAAGACCTTTTTAATATTTGGAGGGAGGTAATAGATACTGATTAACTTTGGACTTTTATAAAGTATATTATTAAAATATTAAGAATAACCAAAAAAAATAAAAAAAAATACGTAACTGCCAAATCTGTCAAGGAAAAGTTGTAAGTAAAGTATACTACTGATAGATTATACATTTAGTTTCTATTTTTGTCCCAATAAAATCCATGGGAAAAATGTCCAACTTTTGGAAAGAAAAGAAGAGTAACAATTCAGGGTGGGGCTTTAAATTGTACCCAAAACATGATTCCTTTAAAAAATGTTCATATATTAAGATACATATTGTGATCATAAGCCTGGTTGCACGCTCATGTTGGTGAGTAGAGATGGGAAAGGGCACAAGAGACTCAAGAAAAGACCCGGAGATACCATGAGACATGAGGGTTTACTGGGACTTACGTACATGGAAGCCAGGAGCAGCCAGCTGGACAACGTTGTGCACGGCTGTCATGGACAAGGAGGGAATTGCTTACGTGGGGTGAGGGACAAAGGCTATGCTCTTTGCTAGGAGGGATCATTCTTCTGTGACGGGTCCTCCAGGGAACAAAACTTTGGTCAGAGGGGGAGTCTACCTGCCAATAAGGTCTCCCCACTGATAAGGCTGCCTTGGATTTGGCTAGCCCCAGGCCATCATATACATAGCACACCTCCCAACAGAAGGGGCCGTGTGGACAGGTGGTTATTTTGGCTCAAAAGGTTACAAGCAGGCAACACTTGTCCCCACACAAGTGTCTACTATATTATTGTCTATACTTTCCTTTATGTTTGAAATACAATTTTTAGATATTAGAAGTACACAACTTATAAAGGCTTACATTGAAAAGTATTGTGTGTTTATTATAATGAGGAAGACTAATCTTCAAATTTGGAAGATGGAATTAATTACAAAGAATGGAAAAATACATAGATAAAACTCTCAAATATCCTCAGATTCTGTGATTAAATTTAAAAGATAAAAATGGACCTGGAGAAAAGCTATCTTGAATAGATGGTACTAAGTGCTAACATATTTCTATAGGAAACAAGAGAGGATTTCTGACAATACAAAAAGTAAAGGAAAATGAATGAAAGAAAATGTCCAAACAATAACACTAAATTAATATTAAAATGAAGTAAAATCATAATGTATTAATTTAGTAAGTGAAAATTCCCAAGCCAGTGTCCATTGCAGTTAAAAATAGACATTTACACACTGCTACTATTTGATTAATTTGGCACAGACTTTTACAATAGCAATTGCTATGTATCATATAAATAAGCATATCCCTAATTTATTTATTTCACTTTTGGAATTTGTCCCATGGAACTAATCCACAAGGAAGAAAAGACTTTTGTCTAGGGAGACAGTCCTTGCAATGTTATTTATAATGTAAAGTGGAAGCTCCTAGTTGCCTGATAAAAGGGCAGTTATTTACTCAATAAATCTTGCAGTCATTTTTAATGACAATCACAGAGACTCCCTAGCAACAATGGAACCGTTGATGAAGTAAGCAAATATTGAAGAAAGTGATGGGAAAGAAGCAAGAACACATTGTAAGGGAATGCAAAATCAAGACCAGGACTAGTTGACTAGATGCTCCCTTAGGAGCAAAATATAGGGTGGATACCAAAAAACTCAGTAAGCAAAGTAATATTTTCTTAAAAGCAAAATTAATGTGACAACATTCAAGATGTAATTTAAAAATTTTGCAAAAACACATCTGACCTTTCACTTGCACCATCCTGAGACTGCCTCACTTGCCTCCCACATCAAGCCCAAGGATCCTGTATTTGTTTAAATTGATATTCTTACTGATTTTTTGCATTGATATTTATATTTTAAGAGTTATGCATTAAAACCATCATTTTCTCAGACTGAAGCCCCCTTAAATTTTGCACCTCGGAGTGTCTCCACCCGCCTGTCCCAACCCTGCGCAAAGTCTCGAAGGTATCTGTGTGTAAGAATTGACAGTGTTGTTACTTCTTGAGTGTACAAACTTCATGTGTATTTTTCAGCCCTAACTAAACGTGTGGTTCCGCGCCATCCTTGCACCTCAGAGCAGTGGCCCAGCCTTCTGAGGGGGCGCGGAGCATCGTGACAATGGTTGTCGGAGTTCCGAGCAACCACTGTAGGGCCTTACCATTAGACCCTCAGGGGACGATGTTGGCCCGCAGCTCATTGTGGAGGTTCACGTACTCGTTGATAAAGCTTATGTCCTCTTCTTATGGCAAAAAAAGTCACATTCAAACCGGAAACCAGCCGTAACAGCCAGAGTTCACATTGCCACAGCTTCAAATTGTCCTTTCGTGTCAGGAAGAACGTTTATGCGGTCCTCTCCCCGGCGTGGCGCCTTGGTGCCTCCGTGGTCCACCGCCCACAGACAGGCCAGTGCGCACGCGCTGGCCCTCCCAGGAGTCCTGCCAATCCACGCAGAGCCGCGCGCCCGCCAGGCCCCACCTCCCTGGGAGCCTAGTGGGAGGCCTGAGTTGACAGCCGCGGCCCGCAGAGCCACTCTGCACAGGTGTCTAACCGAACATGCTGACGTTTAAAGAAGCTTCTAAAATTTTCACCCAACTAATATAGCTAAGTATTTCCAAAGTTGATTTCGGATACCAAACGATGTGTCATCGCTTATTAATGAGGTATCTGTACAGTAAATGCCAAGTGCTGAATAATTAACGTGTCTGAGGAGCCTTTACTTACTCAAGGGGAAATGATCGTTCTGTGATACTGATGAATATTGTTTTTTTCACCCTTACCTGTGGAGTTGGAAATGTAATGCAGGAAGTGCCTTTTATATTCCTCACGGACAAAAGAATATACTCTCAGGTGAATTTCCTCCGTGAGGTTGTCTCTCCGTGTTTTAATGATCCATTGTGGGAAACCACAGAATAAATGGAAGAGTGGAAAACTCGATACTCAGGAGAAAGACTAGTAATCGTCACTTTCTCATAAAGTTGAAGTATTTCCATTTCTTCTTTGACCAGCCCTGTGTAGACAGCCTGGAATAACAGTTTTCATCTGTTCCGAGAAGTTGTGTTCCAGTAGGTAGAAACTAATTCATTGTTTTCATTTCTTTCTTTCAGACAAAAATGGCCAGTGTCCTAGCAGATTTTGGCTTGGTTTCTTTACCTCCAAATATTTTGCTCAAGGAAACTTACTTTGACGGTTATAAGTTCTAGGCATAAAGCAAAAGCACATATTTGTCTTGGGGTTCACATTTACATAGAACAATAGAACGTACTGTGCTCCATAGCCTTAAGGGGACATTTGAAATCATTGAAACTGGACTAGAATTTTGCCACAAAGAAAGCTTTTGGCAAGTGCTTAGCCAAACATATCTAAAAAGAAATGTGCTCTAAAAATTTATCTATGGTATATACAATTGGAAAAAGTAGACCTCACAAGATGGTTTCATTCATGCCTTTATTCTAATAAATAATTACCAGGCAGTGTGTTACGTAGTTTAGAAAGACTTGTGGAGGAGACACAGACCCTGCTTTCCAAAAGCCCACAGTTTAGAGAACTAGCAAGTTGGTAAGTTTTACACCATGTGTTAAAAACAAAGCCAAAATGCTATTGCAGCATGTATGGGGCAACCGACACACTTTCTGAGGACGGGGGAAGCCTTTCTACAGAATTTGACATCAAGAAGGTGAGGCACACAGGTGAAAGAGTTCATTGTAAACAGAGGAAAAAGCACATAATAAGCCAGGAAATCCAAAAAGGCTGAAAGTGTTTTAGTACAATGACAACCTATTGTAGGGGGGAAGTGGCAAGTGCTAAAAGATAAAATTCCTTTATAATGTTGGAACTGTTGTTAGATTATGAATATTGCTGTATTAAAGCACAAGATAAATAGAATAATGCAATCTCAGGAAGAAATTTTTAGACACTTCTATAGTCCCATGTATTAGACATATTCTCTGACACGTCATTGGTAGGTGATCATATCCTCTGCTTAAATAATTACACTAATAAGGGAGTCACCATTTCTTAGGCAGCCCATTCCATTGCTGGACCACTCACTCATTAATAAGTATTTCTTAAGGACGCCTATGTATAGACCTCATGCCATATGCTAGAGCTACAAATATGAAACAAGCTAGATATGTAGCCTATCTGCATGAAGCTTTTAGTTAAAGGTGATATAAATCATCAAAAAATTACAGTGCAGAGTAGAAAATCCTATTTTTAATTTATTTCAAATATAGTTACTGTGTGTCAGGTGCTGTTTAATTTTTTATTTTTTTATTTCAGTGTACATTAACACAAAATTTACCATTCTAACCATTTTTAGTGTAAAATTCAGTGACAGTGCATTTACAATGTTGGATAATCATCACCACCACCATTTTCAGAACTAACTGGTACTATTTTAAATTGCTGGAAAACGTCAACTCATGTAAACCATAAAATCCTTAAGAAGCAGATACTATCTCCATTTTACAGAAAACTGAGAAAAGAGAAGTCAAGTAAATTGTCTAAAATTACTCATTCAGTAAGTGGGAGAGCTATTTTTAAAACCCAGGTGACTGACTGTGGAAGAACAGAAGAAGGACACATGAAGGCATCTAGACTGGTTTGTGTAGAAAGAGGCTGGATTTGCTGAGAATGTTCTGCAAATATTCAACCCTTTCAACCTGTCAATGAATTGGCCCACATCATATAATATACAAGAAATATTTTAAACTCATTGCATTCTAAATTACACCTTTTCACAAATTTTAAAGAGGCATGTATTACTTGAGGGTTATTTAATCATTTTTTAACATATTTTATAATATGTCAACTGTACTTCAGTACCAAAAGATGTGTTAGTTTTTTCAATAAGTTTGTATACCTTGTGATTTTTTTTGGAACTTTAAAATCTTATATTCAGCTAGACCTCACAGAAGTTTTAACTTTCCTAATTTTGAAAGTGATAAGTAATTTATCACTTGGTTTCTTGAAGGCATTTGAATTGATAGAGGATATTGACAATCTTTCTTTACAAGCAGTGTGGAAAATAAAATGTCACTAAGTTATTTCACTAAATTTCTCTTAATGTACTTTTTGAATACTCATTTGCTTCTCTATTGTGTCTAACAGAAATACTGCTTTTACTTCAAAAATAAGGGCAATTTTAGAAATAAACTTTAAGCCTCTTGCTTATCTCAGATTATTTTGGACTTCCATAAGTTTTTAGTTTCTGTACACTGTGCTTGAAATTTTAAGGAAACAATACTCTGAATTTGATGAAAGCTAGGAAATTTTAAAATGTTTTTTATTTATATTCAAGGAGAATGTTCATGGAATAAGACTAAGATACTCATATGTGTCATTTTGTCTTCTTTATAGTCTTGGGGAAATTATTGATTTTACTTTGTTAATTCTTTTCCCTTTTCTATCAGTTCTTGATCATTTTTATAATTCTTAAATTCAAATTATGATGAAGGTGCATGAGAAGTGTTATAAGAGAAAACCAAAATGATTCTGCAACTATAATCCACATTCAAAAGTGGAACAATGGACTTTACTTCTTTAAAATGTAAATTGAATACAGCTGAGAAAGATGTTTGCTGGATAAATGTCAAAGGATTAAAATCACTGATGTGTCATTAAGGCATATTTAAGAATCTTTTAAAATTCCTAAGAAACAGCACCATTAGAGAAATGAATGAAGGAAATGAACAGGAAATTGACCAAAAAACAAAAATAAAAAGTCAAAAATAGTGTAATGAAAATATTTATATTTTATCTATTATGTTCACATTTAGATAAGATGTATTGTGTATAACCAGATTCCAGGATGAGTTTGGGTCTCAGGAACTAAAATACAGTCAAGACACTTCTATTTACAAGCCAAAGACATAAAATAGAGTACAAATATAGGAATATTTATATGAAATTTTGACTCCTGAATTTATATTAATCCTGTATTCTTGCAGTCAGTATGTACTTAGTATGGTTCAGTATATATATATATATAACAATCCCTAGGAATCCTCCCACCAAAGGACAGCATCCCTCTGGACTCTTTTAACAACTCTCAAAATATGTATTTGTAAATATGAATGCAGTTTATGAAAATATTTATAAATCTACTCATTTGAGAAATGAAAATTAAAAGCATGCACTTATACAGAATATTAGATGAAAGGTTTTATATAAATTATTATATATGAAGCACTTAGTACTTGGCACATTGCAAACATTACTTAGTGTGAGGTATAACTACTATTAAATTAATACTGTATTAATAAATAATATCTCTTTTCCCTTGTTATATTGACCAGGGCTAAAATTTTTAACACAACATGGTGCCACATTATGCATTCTTAATACATATTTATTGAATGATTCTTATGGTAATCCATGTGGTCTCACTAGCTACTAGGAGGAAATCCAGTGTGTGCAACTCCAGGTACGTTCCGCTGATTCAGGGTATGTAGTTTTCCTGAGTGAAAATGAGAGTTCCACTGTTGATTATGGGATTCATTTCACACTTGTGTGAACCCAGGTAGATTTAATTACGGATTACCTAGTTTTAAATAAGCCAACCATCACAAAATAGTTATATGTCTTGCTGAAAAGAAATTAATTATAATTGTAAGAATAGAAGTGCAAGCAAACAGTATTGATCATTTGATTCTTATGGTCCACTGGCATAAAAGCTCTTTAACATTTATTTTATGGTTCATACAGATGACATCCTTTTTAGGTTCAGTTTTTATGTATTTAAAATATATATATATTGCTCTATAATAAAAACATACACAATACTTGTGATTAAATGGTACATATATATTTTTGATTCAAGTTTAGGGTCACCAACTTCCTGTTTTATTAGGGAAAGCTCCCTTAATAGGCATGTTTAAACCTAATAGGTAGGTTTAGCATGTTTTCATATGTCCCAGAAATCCCTCAGTCCCGGGTAAACCAGGACTATTGATCACTCTATAATATTTCTTTACTGATAGAGATGCATCATCAAAAACCTACAGAGACTATTGTTTAAACCATCTCTTTACCATCTTTTCCAAGGGAAAGATGGACAGGTTTCACTTTACTTGTAAGTATTTAGGCAAGTTTCTGGAAGCTTTACACATAGCCTGGTAGGACAAGAGGATCTCCAGAAAATATGCACTGTTTAAATCCTGAGTTAACTGCCCTCACTAATTTGAAAAGGCCAAACCCTAAGCAGTTTGTCTAGTAATTCCATACTGAGTGAAATAGAATGGTTACTTGAGTTCACTATTAAGAAGCAAGATCTTAGAATAACAGAACTGCAAGTGATGCCAGGCCTACCAAGAGATCTTATCAAGTCCTCAGATATAATCACAAGGAATAGAAAAGAAAACTTGGCCCAGAATTTTCTCTTCTCACCAATGAGAATTTCTCTTCTTACCCACTAGTAAGGTGGAGGCATTCCTTACTACCCAGCTTCTGCTCACAGCTTCAGTCTAGCTAGAAAACTGCCGAGAACCCCTTTTCTGAGAACTGCCACTACTTGCAAGTTTATGAAACAGTTTAATACTCTGATAAATTTTTCTTCAAAATCAGAAAATATAATTCTGTAAAATTAATTTTTGAATGCATTCTGTAGTTTCAATTAATCTGATTTAAAGAAATTTACATGCTTTTAG